TTCAGCAGTGTGCTGTTTGCACAGTACCAGTATTCAATTGCAAGTGGACTGCCCATCTTCATTGATTGCAGAAGGAAAGAAAAACATGCCTATCAGCTTACACATATCAATGCATTGCCTGTTTTGCTTGATGGCCACAGAAACGTCTTCAGTTTTCCTTAACTAAATTATTATAAATGGCATTTTGCAAGTAAAAAGATAACACAGAAACACAATCAAGAAGTAGAAATGGGAAAACATGAAACTAATTTCTTGTATAATTTTCCAAATTTTCAATTCAGAGCACATGTATTTCAAATAAGCAAAGTGTAGCCAAATGAAAAGATTCCAATGATTCGCATGTTCCTATAATACATCCCTTCATTAAATAACCCATCCACAAGTGAAAAACACACTTCCTTTTCAACAAGCAATACACATAATATGGTCAATGTTCTCAGCTAACTAGGAAAGATTTACATTTCCATTCTGGTAGGTTAGTAGGTGTTTTTTGTTCCACAGAAAATAAGGTTTTTTTATATTTAAGCTTTCCCTGTATGTGACAAATGTTATAGTCTGACCTAGGAGGGAAAATAAAGTAAAGGAAATAAAATAGTTTCCATACATCAGGAGATTGTAGGAAGAGTTAGCTAGATCTATTAACTTTTCAGTGTGCATTTTAGGAGTGCAGAAATCACCCCAAAAGAAGTTTTACCGCAGATATATAAAGAACAGAAAAATATGCTTTTAAGCTTTGCTATACTGAAGGCAGACAAACTTGCTGTGAAGCACAAGACTCTTACTTAGATCACGTTATAAATATCTATCCATCCATTCTTTACCTTTTTTGCTTCATATTCCCTCTCTTGGAGTCTACGGATCATATTGTTGGCAGCTTGCACTGAAATAACAAATCGCAGTAGATCAGTCTGCTGTTCTAAACCAAAGAAAATTGCCTGAAAGGGATTTAAAACACATGAGGCTGTTGCAAATCAAAGATTATATTCCACTGTGTCACTTTGCAGAAGAGTTGTCAGTACTTGCAGAAAATGCTTTACACTTATAACTGTACACAGGATTTTCATCGAGTTCAACCTCTGTCCATTCTAGGAGCCAAAGAGAGAAAGGCAGCTCTTGTGTCCACACTTCTTAGTGTTGCTGATGAGCTAGAGTGCACTACTCAGCACCTCAGAAGACATCAAAAAAGCTCTCAAACCCTTAAGTAGAAACAGGTGACTGAGCTCTATGTTTTAGTTGGTTGGGTTTTTTCTTACTTTTTCCCCATCAACTGTCAAAAGCAATATAGTATAAAGACTTTACGTGGAGAACATCTTGTTGCCGGAGCCAGCCTCTTCTCTCCTGAGACTAAGCCTGGGAAAACTTCTCAATGGAAATAGGAACTGTATTCCTATGCACTTTTTTCCTTAACTTATTTAACACTTAATTAATGCAGAACTAAATGAACTAATTTCCCCAAAGCAGTCACTTCTCCCACTAACACACCCTGGCAATGAGAAATACCTTACTTATCATCAACTGGTGACTTCTCACACCAGGAGACAGGCTCCTGCCACCCTGAGGACTTCCAGTTACAGAAAAAGTTCACTGTCCACGTGGCTGATGAGGAGCTGGGGGCACCATGAATTGGAGCACCTGGTGGCTGAGCATGAGCTGCTCAGGAACGTTAGAAGAGAGTGGCAAGTGATAGTTGTAGCACACTCCCTATGGCAGGGGCAGAGGCTTCCCACCTGTCAAAATGTTTTTTCATGTAGGGAGGTTTGCCCCTTGACAGGAGCACACACTTGGATTGTCATAGGCTTGGAGTATTACTCCTGCTTCTCTTCCATGTAGACACCAGGGCCTACAGGTGACCTGAGATATATCAGGATGACTATGAGGATCTGGGGACAGCGGTCAAAGGCATGGGGGGCTGGGTAATCTTCTCAGCCTTCCTGGTGAGTGGGACTAGATGGACTTTTGGGGTTAACAGCTGGTTGCACTGTTGGTGTGGGCAGCAGGACTTCAGTTTATAGTCTTGTCTCGTGTCTCAAGAGAGACTACGCTCTTGTCTCAAGAGCACTCTTGTCTACAGAGCTCACTGCCAGGACAAGAGGCAGTGGGCACAGAGTGAAACACATAAGATTTCAAATGAACACAAGAAAACACTTTTTCCTGTGAGGGTGATCAAACGCTAGTACAGATCGCCCAGAAAGGCTGTAGAGTCTCTGTCTTTAGAGATATTCAACTCTAATGGACACAGCTCCGAACAACTGGCTCTAGCTGCTGCTGTTTGAGAAGGGAGGTTGGACAACATGACCTCCAGAGGTCCCTTCCCACCTCAGGTATTCTGTGATTCTATTACTAATGACATATTGCACAGCTGACCATTAGAAAGTCAGGGAGCAGCATCAAAGTTTCACTCCAGTTAGATGGTACTATAAGAGACACCTTATTTACATGATTGAATTTGAAGTTTCAAATATTTTTTGCAATCATTTTGTGGGTGTAGTATCATCCACCATTTGCTATTCTGCATACGCCAGATGCCATATAAATGAGTTATAAGAAATTTAATGCTTATACAACGTGCCACATGTAAAATATAACAAAACCCACATTGGCATGTTTCAACTGCATAAATTTGGCAGCTAAATCTACCTACTCACACTCTCGTTTCAAATATTTTTTGCAATCATTTTGTGGGTGTAGTATCATCCACCATTTGCTATTCTGCATACGCCAGATGCCATATAAATGAGTTATAAGAAATTTAATGCTTATACAACGTGCCACATGTAAAATATAACAAAACCCACATTGGCATGTTTCAACTGCATAAATTTGGCAGCTAAATCTACCTACTCACACTCTCTTGAATTTTTAAGAA